CAGGTACCCCCGAGGATCTGCTGTTGCTAAGAATTCGTTCTACATGGATGATTTAATGACGGGCCACGAAGATCTATCAGAAATCAAAGAAATTTGCGATGAAGTTAAGAATCTGTTAAAGAAAGGCGGCTTTAAAATGCAGAAGTGGTCTAGCAACTCTGACGAGTTGCTGAGGTTTCTGCAAGATGACAAAGACAGTCCGGAAACGGTGGACAGAATAGAAATTAAATTAGATAAGGTGATAAAAATACTTGGTCTCACATGGGACAGAAAAAGGGATACGTTCAAGGTTACAGTCAATATACCGGAAACCAGGAAACCTGTTACAAAAAGGTTAATATTATCAGATGTGGCCAGGCTCTTTGATCCATTTGGCTGGCTCTCTCCAGTGGTTATTACAGCTAAAATTATGATACAGAGACTGTGGTTAAGTAATCTTGGTTGGGATGATGAACTACCTTCTGAGCTAGTAGAGGAATGGCTTAGTTACAGAGAAGCGCTTCAAAAACTGCAAGATATTGAAATCCCGCGCTGGATTAAAACGACGTCACGCTGCAAAGAAGTGCAATTGCATGGATTCGCAGATGCCTCTTCTGTTGCGTATGCAGCAGTGGTCTATATCAAGGTTTTGGATGAATATGACAGGATCTACGTCACAATGGTGGCATCTAAAACTAAGGTAGCACCATTGAAACAATTGACGATTCCGAAATTAGAACTTTGCGCTGCAGTGTTATTGGCTAAGCTATTGCACGAGTTGTCTGGTCTATGGGATATACATATGGATCAAGTATATGCCTGGACTGATTCAATGGTGGTTCTGTCTTGGTTGCAGTCTCAACCAAGTCGATGGCAAGTTTTTGTTGGCAATAGAGTGTCGAACATAATTCAGTTGATAGACAATGACAGGTGGTATCATGTTCAATCAACCGACAATCCCGCTGACCTCGCGTCAAGAGGGGTAGCACCAATTGAAATAGTAAACAATGACATGTGGTGGGCTGGACCAGAGTGGTTAAAAAAATAAAGGAAGGGATTTAACAAAGAATTATATTCCTCAAACATACTTAGAGATGAAAGGATCTTTTAATGTAGTATTAAAGGAGAAACCAGTTTGGGAACGATTTTCATCTATGTTACGAATGAAAAGAGTTCTTGCATGGTGTTTACGATTTCTACATAATAAAGAGAAAAGAGAAACGTATTTAACTATGGAAGAAATGAATGAAGTTGAAGAAAAATGTATAAAATACTACCAGTACTTAGTATACGAAGATGAAATTGAAGAACTTAATAAAAAAGGAAAGATAAAAGGTAGAAGCTCTTTGATAAGTCTTACACCTTTTTTTAGACAAAAGGGGGCTTCTTAGAGTAGGAGGGCGACTATCTAATGCTAATATAAATGAGAATGCTAAACATCCAATTATAATACCAAAAAAGCAGCATATTACTAAGCTTATAATTAACGAAGCCCACATAAGAACTTTGCATGGAGGTTTTCTTCAGATGCTTACATACATCCGCAGCAAGTACTGGGTAGTTAGTCTGAAGTCTGCTCTCAGAGCAATTATTCGTAACTGTAAGGTGTGTATAATTGACAAGGCAAAAATTAAGCAGCAACTGATGGGCCAGTTACCATCTGCAAGAGTGAATCCGAACCGTGCTTTTTTCAACAGTGGAGTTGATTTTTCCGGACCTGTGCAATTGCGAACCTCAAAGGGCCGTGGTTACAAGTCAACAAAGGGCTATATTTGTGTCTTCGTTTGTATGTCTACGCGAGCTATACATCTCGAAGCTGTTACGGATTTAACGTCACAAGCCTTTATTTCAGCATTCAGGAGATTCGTTGCAAGAAGAGGTCACTGTAGGAACTTGTGGAGTGACAATGGCACCAACTTTGTGGGAGCCGCAAGGGAATTAAAGTGTATGTTTGAACAGGGCAAAACTAATCTGGCGAGAGAGGTAGCTGAGCTCCTATCAAATGATGGTACAACATGGCACTTCATTCCGCCGAAGGCACCCAATTTTGGTGGGCTATGGGAGGCAGGCGTTCGTTCGGTCAAGAAACATTTGTCGAGAATAAGTGGTACTACAAAGCTGACCTATGAGGAAATGGCAACACTATTGGCACAGATAGAAGCCTGTCTAAACTCGAGACCTATCTGTCATTCCGAAAACACCAGTGAAACACTAGATCCACTCACCCCAGGTCATTTTCTCATTGGTGAGCCAATAATTAATATACCAGACACAAATTATGAGCACAAAAGCGTAAGTATGTTATCTAGATGGCAATTCTTACAAAACAGGATGCAAGATTTTTGGCGTAGATGGAAATCGGAATATCTCCATTCATTACAGCAACGGCATAAATGGCAAGACACAGTGCCGTCTCCATGTGTTGGAGATATCGTAATCATTAAGGAAGATGATCTCCCACCGGCGAAATGGTTATTAGGAAAAATTATAACACTACACCCTGGCGCTGATCAACTCGTCCGCGTGGCAACAGTGCAATGCAAGGGTGATAACATTCTTAAGAGACCATTGTCTAAGTTAATATTACTTCCAATGAAACCGAATGATGAAGAACAAGGTCAATGCTGAGGGTTATACCTAATAGTGGTCAGTTAATTTCACATTTTTCTATAACATCACTTGTATTTTTAATGATATTTCATTACATTATGTCACTAGAATATCTATATACAATAAAAAAGGTCAGTAAAAAAAGGCAAATGATAAAATACGAAGTTTCAATGTATATCATGCTAAAACAATAAGCCACAGAGGACTTTGTGCCTGAACAATGATGTAATGGTAATGAGAACACTTTTGTTATAGCATATTTTAAGTTTAAACTTGTAATCTTTTAGCCTTAAGTTTATGTATTTTTTTTCGTAGCATATTAATTACTTTATTGTCTAAATAAATGTAAACCTATTTTTCAATTTAAGGTTGACTTATATTGCTCCTTCATGCATATTATTTGGAGTACAAGTGCTGAAATGTTAAATTAATTTATAAAGGTATTGTTACATGCAGATACAGTCCATGTTTGTAAGTAAAAGGAAATAATATAAATTACCATTGAAAAATTATATTTAGGATTTATTGTTGTTCTTTTTCTACTTCATAATAAATCAACTCGATCATAAGATTGTAAAAATAAATACTTCATGGTGCCTAGTACTTTGATATTTTATAGATAGTAGGAATTTTGTACCAGTGCTTCCGTTTCATACATGTGTTGCATGTTATAAAATAACATATGTTTAGGTTTGAGCGAAAAATGGTTTTGCTGTTCAGATTTCAATTCTCATGAATTTTATATTATAAGTTTAAGGTATAAGTTGTAACTTAATTACTATGTGCATTACATTTTGTTTTGAATTTTGTACTTTTTGAGCACTTAGTTAAAAACTGTGGTTTTTGGAGGGCGGTATGTTTAGTACATAGTTGGTATTTTTTTGCCAGCAGTCGGGTAACCCTATATAATTATCCCTATAAAACAATTTATCTCGCTGTAGTTGTTTGCGCGGTAATAGATGACATAATGTATGTGCAGTAAGAATAAAGTAATCATTGAGTGAAGACACGTTTATTGAATTATTTCACCTGCAAGCAAAAGTGCACCTTATTATAAAGTGTACACTCGTCATAAATTACACAAAAACTAAGATAATACAATTTAAGCCGTATCAAAAATGCCCCCTATCTATAAATTATTCTTACGATACTAAACTATAATGTGTTGATTCATATACATTATTAGGTATAAACATAGATTCAGGTATAAAATGGAAAGAACACATAAAGAAAGTATCATCTAAACTTTCCCGTTTCTCGTATGCACTATACGAACTTAAAAAAAGTTACAGATTCAAGAACAGCCACGTGTGCATACTATGCTTATGCCCATGCATGGCTCAAGTACGGCATTTTGCTGTGGGGAAACAGCACAGACGTACATAAATTGTTTATTTTACAAAAAAAAATTATCCGAATAATTATAAACATAGACAGCAATGACAGCTGTAAACCCTACTTTATTTTATTAAAAATATTAACAATTACATCTATATATATACTAGAAGTATGCACATTTGTTAAAAAGAATATGCACCTTTTTTCAATATACTCCCGGCCTCATTTTTTACGTCCTAGTATAAAATTAGCTCCACCTATCACAAAATTACAAACAGTTAAATCAGAACCCCATGGTATGTGTGTAAAAATTTATAATAAAATTCCCAAATGTCTACAAAAAGAAGAATCGTTGTATAAATTTCAAAAAGAGCTTAAAAAATATTTAATTGAAAAAAAGTTTCTATTCGTTGTCAGAGTTTTTTGGTGAAAAATAATAATTGTTTATTTTGAATATGTATACCTCTTTAATATCGTTGTAAATATTGCAAATGTTTATTAAACCTAAAAGTAATGTAGTAGTTTGAGTAAGTAGTTTAAGTAAGTAGTTTAAGAAAATAAAATAAAATTGATAAATAACATAATACAATATAATATGTTTGGCTCTAATATATCCAACTTAAGAACTATTTATGTAACCACATGAACGCAATAAAATGTTTGAGTTTGAGTTTGAGACCTGGTAAGTACTCTGGTAGTCGATGGATGACTCGAGATCACGTTTTTTAGCATCTTTGGGTTTATTGAAACTTCAAACTGAAATAGGTAAAGTTGGGATAGGTTTTCAATCATGATATAGTTACGCTACAGAACTAATACGTCGTGTCGATCGGAAAAGGAACATGCTCGTACAGAATACCAGCGTGAAATAGCGATATAATTCTGTTGTTATCCGTACGTTAAGTAACAAGAATCCGAGGCACTTTTTTGACTGTTAATAAAGTATTGCATTGTAATCCTTAAGATTGATAACGCATCTGCATTTTGATTTTTAATTAAAGATGTTTGCTCACATATCACCCCTGTTGTATTAAAAGTCAGACTTTCCTCAAAAAATTATCTTTACATTGCAGAGTGGGAATGTCAAGGATGCGGCTTACCAGAGTCAGTGGTACAAGTGCAGCGTTCGAGTACGCCGCGAGCTTCTTATGCTTATGGCCAGGACATACCGTCCCACGCGCCTGCGTGCTGGTGGCATTACCGATTTGTCTTTAGCTTCTTTTATGTCAGTCAGTATCCAATGTCTTTAATCTATTGTGTCAGCTCAAGAGCGCAGTGAAGCGCTTGATTACGGGGCTGCGGGCCCGTGGATTAGAATCCCGTATAAATATAAGCTATACAAATATTTGTTCTGTGCGATCAAGTGTTTCTATGACTTACAAATAATATAAAATAGTCTGGGGTAATATGTTTATTTTTGTGCAATTATATATGTAAAAACGCCTTCACAACCAAAACTCATACTACCGAAAAATTCTTACTGTGGGTGTAACGTTTTCTTTAAAAGAAACATATTACGGTGTAAAAGATAATATCAACTCATATTCGTATGATCGAGTTTTCATCATTCAAGCCAGTTTAGGAATATCTTGGCTTTTTATAATCATTAGCTTTTTAAATCTCATAGACGTTTACCTTTTCAAGATGACATTTGAATTGATTCTTCTTCTTTATCAGTCTATGAAAGTTCAATGCTGAACAGAATATGCTTCTCCATTGTAGGGAGAATTTACGTTGGTTACCGCCGGCCAGGGTATTTTATGACTGTCGTAAACGAGATTATGTAGGCACTACAATCGATGGGATTATATTTCTCTAGAATTTGCTATACTGCCCTTTACAAATTCCCACGAGGCGTAATAAAATGATGTTTTCACTTACGACGATACCACAGACCCAATAAAGCCGTAAGAAAGCGTGTTGGTTAACGTAGACCCGATACCGTCAATTTGGTAATGTTGCGCTCTCTATCACCAGTGTTTTGAATTTGAGTTTTACATTTTTCATTTTTATATGGATTTCCCACCATTTGCTACATACGCTCGTTATACCTGACCACCATGTGCTCGATCTTTATCGATAGCTGAAATACTTATTGTTAACTCTTTAAACCTGAATAGTACAGTGAATGATTTTTTAAATTAAAATTGATTAGGAAACGAATATGGAGTCACTTTGATGGTAAGCAGCTGCTATAGTCTATAGACATCTGCAACCTTCTTCAAATAAACAAGGCTAGGCTTTTCCAAACGCAGTAGTGCAGTAGTGAATGTACAGTAGCTTGGTAAAAAAATGCTACTTATCTAATTGGAATCCAAGGTAAAGAAAAGGCCGTAACAATTAGAAAAGTGAATAATTTTGTTTTTTATTTTCCTACAAACTTTTATATTTTTACTACTTTCTTTTACAGATCATCAAAGCTTCGTACTCGTTTTACACAGTGCTGCAACAGGTTGATGAGGAAAATTAAAACGATGATACGAATGTTTTATAAAGAACAAATTACGATTATACAAATGGTGAAAACATAAATTTAAACATTTTATATTAAAATTAGCTTTTTCCGGCGGCTTTGCTCTCGTGGTTTTACCAGCATTAGAATTTTATTGTTCCGAATTTTAGTGTTCTATACTAAAATTCGGAATGACATACTCACATCCTTGAGTGTCCGTAGTTTCTTTAGAATTTGAATACAAAACTTATCAATATACTCGATCTCAGCGCCAAGTAGCGGGTTCATATTTTGTAATTTTGTTTTTACCTTCTTTCAAAACGCAGAGGTAATGAACAATTCTACTTTACGCCAGTATTCTGTGAGGTCATGGTACTACCCCGGATCGAGCCGGCCAATCCATGCAACAGCAAAAGATGCCGCAGTGTATGTAGAGAAAAACTAAAAAACGAGCAACGCCGTTTTCTAGGACTATTAAATTTCGGGGCGACTCGTTGTGTTAGGACCAAAAATGTTGTAAACACTCTCAAGGCCACAATTTGCCTAAACCCTATATGAAAAAAAAACATATTAAAAACTTCTTGCAAGGTAAGGAACAAGAACTTACAACAAGAACCTAAGACAAATGACAGAATTTCCATGCAATAAAGTTTTAAATAATTAAATTTGTCAGCGTTTAATTAATTTTGTCACATTTAATTTAATATATAACTTTTACATTTTTACACAAAAGCATTTAGTTCAGCATTTTTAACTACAAGAAAAAGTATTTTACTTTTCGCCCGGAGTAGAACCAGCAGATTGGCCCTCTTGCACAAAAAATCAGAAACTCTTCACACGGCGCCGTGGTGTGCATTTTCGAAAATTGTGCATTCGAAAATTTTATCCCAGGTAACAAATGGGTATAAGGAACGGTGTTGAAGCTTAAAAATCATTTACAAAATACCATTAGTATTCAGAATTTTAAAGCTTGTTGATTGAAATACATCAAAAAAAAGTTTGTGATCAGTAGCAAAAACTGATATATTTTTTAAATTTAATTTTCTAGAGAAAACGTATTTACGTTATATCTTTTTTGAAATAGAAATACACTGTTTGAGATTTTACAATAAAACTTTTTTTAATAAGCTATTGCATAGCTTCTATCGCGGGCCTTGAGCGCGGGGACCGAATCCAGAAATTCCGTAACGAAAAAAAACCTCACGCTCCCCACTCCAACGGGCATGGAGGTGTGGCGTTGAAAGCCGTGCATCATCTAACGTCGTTTCAGTTCGGCAGACTTCGGCACTCGGCAGACTTCGGCACGGTGTTTGTGCGTGCGACTAGACGTATGCGTGTACACTAGCTGGTAGCTGCTAACTCAATGATAAAAATTCCTGAATAACCTACATGTATTGTAAGATATTAAAAATATTTTAAACAATATTAACTTCTCATTTATTCAATAAGAGAAAAAAAATTGTTTTCTTATCGGTCACCACGCTCAAAAAGTGTAACTGGATTTAATATACAAAGACTTAACTGCATAAATAAAATAAATAAATAATTATAATTGCATAAATTGATAAAAAATGCTATGCAATACCGAGTGCCACACGTATTTTTTTTAATAATACAAATTGAGTAATTAAATTCTAATGTAATTGTAGCAGATATTTGATGGAAAGAAAAAGATTGTTTAACCAAACTCGTAGCCGTTGAAGGAAAAGGTGAGATCTCTCGCCGTGCAAGGTGTTCTGTCCGGGGAGCGGCCAACGCTCCGAGTGATAGTTTGGAGCTATTCTATATATGCTGTTTTTACTTCGGAACTTCGATAGCGCGATTTAGGCTTCGATATGTTTTCGCTTGTGGCGTGACGAGAGCGCCGCCACATCACCCCCCTGCTCAGACCGGAGAGCGATAGTGCAGTCCGATTGCCGGTGCGTCCTTAATGCTGGTGGGCAATGCATGCTGATATGCCGGTGTGTAATACATGCGGTACTACTTGCAAGTGATGCCGGTGAAAACTATGTGCCGGAGCGAGTGCCAGAAGCCTGCCTTATAAATCTACGGTGAGTCCAGATGAAGACAAGTTTGATTTTTGTGCAGGATCTGAAGATTGCATAAAACAATTCTCAGTAGTGAATGGTAGGAGTTCTTGTGAATAATAATGAAAGCTTTAAGTTGTAGTTTCCGAAGGTTGTTGGTTGCGTGTTTTACATCATGTCAGGGTCACCACTGTTGCCCTGGAAGGAAAAAGCGAGATCTCGCTCCGAGCAAGGTGTTCTGCCCGGGGCCGGGGGCCCAATGCTCCGAGTGACAATTCGGAGCTATTCTATATATGCTGATTTTACTCAAAACTGACCATAGTTCCATTGTCAGCGAGATGTAGGTCTTTTATCTCACTAACAAAATGGTATGAATCCTTTGTGTGTGCTCTGATATGTCCTCTCAGTGGTGACAGTATTTTTGCCATGTGTTGTGCCAGCTTATATGTCGGTGAATCGATCTGGCTCACTATAGAACTTCGATAGCGCGATTTAGGCTCCGATATGTTTTCGCTTGTGGCACGACGACAAACTTATACAACAATTTATTAATATAAAGTTTTTATTTAATACAATATAACTCCTCCATGACTCGAACACATACGCAGATCCTCATGCGCGTGCTGAAGATCAAGTTATCAAGCATTACTTGTTTTAACCTGTCCCATTCTTGTATAGCGGCATCCCTAATCTCTGGAACTGTCCGGGGAGATGGCTAATGGTTCCAAACAGCTCGCTTAAGAGCATCCCCCGCGTGCTCTATTGGGCTTAAGTCAGGCAAGTCGGCATGTCAGTCTTACCTTGTGCTGTCATATTCTCGGAGAGCAGCATTGCTTCGTTGAGCTCGATGTGCGGGCCATTTATCATCGACCAGTACAAATTGATGCCCATGGTTTACTCGGAATGGTCTAACAATTCCATCAATAGCGACTGTTTTATACCTATCTGCCATAATGGAGCCTCGATACGAGATCAAAGGCGTTCTAGCTCCAATCATAATTCCACCCCTAAAGGAAACCGATTCCCCGCCCTGCTGAACGGTTCCAGTGTTTCGTGGCAGTTCTTTGCATTTAAGAGTCTCCAGGTCTTCTCCAGACGAACCAGGTTCTGAACCTGGTCCGGCAGGAGCTGGCTGCCTTCCAGCACCGGTTCTCCGTGCTGGAGGGCATCGTCCTGCGCCCCCCCCTAGGGGCAAACAAGATGGCAGTGAGGCCGGCAACGGTCTCGTACGCGGCGGCCACGGCTGCCGCATCCAGGCCGGGGCCGTCTAGCCAGCCCTCGGGCGGGGCTGCAGTTGCCCCTCCCCCCTGAAAAGCCGGCTCTGGCAAATCCGGTACCGGCTGAACCGGCTCCGGCTAAGCCGGCGACGGGAAAGGGAGGCAAGACGAAGGCGAGAAAGGGCAAGGCGGCAGCACAGGTGGTGGCTGCACCAGCCCCAGTGCCTGCGGCGAATGTGCCAGCGCCAGCGGCAAGCCAGCTGCCGCCGCCGTCACTGCCCCCCAGCTCCCTACACCTCCCGCGGCTGAAGCCGGTTGGCAGGTGGTCGGGAACAAGAAGAAGGGTAAGAAGGCAGCCAAAAAGGCCAAAGAGCAGGAGCGGCAGCGCCAGTTCAGGGCGCGCAAGATCGCGGCTAGGCTCCGCGCCCCGAAGACCGCAGCTGTAGTGATTACACTACAGCCGGACGCGGAAAAGAAGGGCGTTACCTACCGCGATCTGCTCGCGAAGGCGAAGGAGACGGTAGATCTCGGGGAGCTCGGGATCACCGGGGGGCCTTCGGCTCAAAGTCACCCAGACGAGGGCCCGTATGCTAGAGGTCCCCGGGGAATCCAGTGGCGCGACCGCGGACGCTCTGGCTGCGAAGCTCAGAGAGTCTCTGGACGCGGAAGAGGCCCGGGTGTCCAGGCCCGTCAGATGCGCAGACCTGCGCATCATGGGTCTGGACGACTCGGTATCGGAGGAGGAGTTGGTGGCCGCCGTCGCTAGGTCCGGGGGTGCACTACTGACCAGCTCAGGTCAGGCGCCATACGCCCGGACCAACAGGGCATGCATGCCGCCACGGTGTGCTGCCCTGTTACGGCGGCCAAAACCATAGTGGAGGGCCGAAGGCTGCTGGTGGACTGGGTCTCAGCGCAGGTTAAGCTGCTGGAGCCCAGACCTCTGAGGTGCTATCGCTGTCTCGTGGGGCACCACGTATCAGTGAGATGCGCCTCGGAGGTTGATCGCAGTCGCCTGTGCTTCCGCTGCTGTCAGCCCGGACACATATCGGCAACCTGCTGCGCCACGCCGCACTGTGATGCATTTGCGGCGACCGGCAAGCCAGCCGATCACCGGGCCGGAAGCAAGGCCTGCGTGCCACCCGCCAAGGCCAAGGCCGCGGGGAGGGGAGGGCGCTCCGCCGCCACCGCCTCTGTGGCCTCCACCGCAGACGCAACTGCCGCCGCCACCGCTGTCACTGTCGCCGCCGCCGCCGCTGCGACACCGACGCCCGCAGAGGTGCCCCCCGTGGAGGAAGCTGAAATGGAATGCCTATAACGGCCCCATTAAGCTTCCTCCAGGCGAATATCAACCACTGCGCCTGCGCTCAGGATCTGTTGCTACAGAGCATGGCGCAGTGGTCGATTAACATCGCTGTGGTCGCTGAGCCATATTTTGTCTGGCCTAGGGGAGGACTGGGTGGCGGACCTTAACGGCTCAGTGGCCATCATCTCTTCGGCCGCCGCCGGTACCCCGACCCTTAAAGGTGTCAGGAGGGGTCAGGGGTGCGTAGCAGCACGGTTCGGGGAGTTCGTCGTTGTGGGGGTGTACTTCTCCCCGAACCGATCCCTCGCCGAGCTCCACAACTCTCTTGCAGAGCTGAGAGCAGTCGTCGTCGGAAGTTATCCCCTCCCCGTACTTGTCCTCGGGGACTTCAATGCCAAGAACTTGGCTTGGGGTTCTCGTCGCACAGATGTGCGGGGTAGGATGGTGGAAGACTGGGCTCTGGAGACAGGC